TGTGGGGCTCCATTTAGCTGTAAGTTATTTGGGGTGGGCAATGTCCCTAAAATATGCACATATTCAGAGAGCAAAGCAGCACAAGGTCCAAGCATTTGTGAACTGAACTTTTTTTGCGATCTTGCCTCAGGTTCTGGATTGGATATGATTCGCGATTGATCAATTTCTCTGTGAACGATTGGTGAACTCGGATTCCACACCATGTCCGGAGGTGTCATACTCTGATTTCAAACAGGCCACAAACAGTTGCTGATACACATTTCCCAAGTCTGGTCCAGATGGGTTTGTTGCATCTCGTCCTTGTAGCTTATCATGCTAGAGTTTTGTCTTTTGCAGTGCAACCGGCGATGTTGTGCTTGCGGGGATCCCAATTTCGATTCTGTCCACCGTGCGCGCAGTCTGGTTGTGTATCCAAGGTTGTGTACATTCTTCATTAACCTGACACAATGCACCTTTTCTCTTTGGTCAATATTCCTTGTACACGAACAATACAATATTGTGCGAATTGTCAATACGCTCCAGTGATGAAAAATATACTTCCCTTGTCTTTGTGTTAGTAGTTAGTGGGAGAGCTGGTTTGAGGATATGCAAGACCAAAAAAAACATTGGATTTAATGCAGTGTGCGCTTGATCTGAGTATTCTTGTAGCTACAATCTCCTGCAAGACCATACATTCCCCATTTCACAAAAAAAGCCTGTGTTTGTAATCAGCCGTCGCCTTTAAAAGCTCCACGTTCTCACAGCCCTCTGCGGCTCTTCATCTTCTCCGTTATCTGCTCTTTTATATCTGCTCCTATCTCCCCATCCTCTGACCCTTCCACCTGCACTCCCCTCTGCCACAGGACTCATCATTACTCCTCTTTCAACAACTCATCTTTCTGGAGCTACACTAACAACAGGGCTATTCTGCAGGCTTCTAATAGGATCTCACAGAGGCTCTAATGGATGTGTCTGAATCGCCCCAGGCACGGTAGAGTAGATAAATTGATATGGAGAGCCGTTGAGACAGGGGGACAGAGATGGGAGATTCCAACATGTATCTGGGGCTCAGGAGGGACATAGTGAACACACGTAAGCTGTGGTGGGGCATCACATTGCAAACACAAAGTGTTAGCAACAACTTACATACCACATCATGACGTCAGCCTGGATTATTACACACTTGCAATAGTGTGGAGTTATGCGTATGTAAACATGCATCCAATAATATTATATATTATGTACACAACATAAGAAAGCCCAGACAGTTTAACTCCTTGCCTATTTTATCTAAAACGTGTGAAAATGTCTGTAAACAATGGGCCTCATTCACGAACGGTTCTTAGGAACAGATTTGTACGTAAATCCTACTTACGAGGTTTTTACGAAGAAAGTGGCATTCACGAATTTTTCTCGTAACCAGAATTTCTCTTGGGCAAGTACAAATCCTACGAGTCCTCAGGAGCACTCGTACGCATTCAGTGCCGACATGTTCACACGCTGGGGTTGTCCTCTTTGGTGAAGTTTAATAAAAATACAACATTCCAGTGATATGTCCGTCATATCGATGTATGTATTTATTTATTTGTAGTAATCTTTATTAGTAATCTTCATTTATATACCGCCTTTTTCACTGCAGATCTGGCCTACTTTTAAATTCATTTTGAAATGAAATGTGCCAACGCTTTATCAAATACATTGGAAATCTTGCCGTGTATTAGTGACCCCTTCCTATTTATAGGGGGCATTTCTTTATCCACGGGCCACAGAACAACGGCATATATACTGCTGCTGCAGGAGGTTACTGGGTCCGCGCTGAGTCTCTGCGCTGGTCTCTCCTATGGATCTATACGGGTCTGCGCTGGTCTCTCCCATGGACGGGTCTGCACTGGTCTGTCCCATGGCTCTAGATGGGTCTGCACTGGTCTCTCCATACGGGTCCGTGCTGCATGCTCCTGGATCCATACGGGTCCGCGCTGGTCTCTCAAGTCTGGTCTATGCGGTCTCTCTTCGGTCCGCGCTGGTCTCTGCGCACCGGCCTCTCCAGTCAGGTCACTACAGTCTATGCGGTCTCTCCTGTCTGCGCTGGTTTCTGTGTGCTGGTCACTCCAGTCTCTCCTCGGGTCTGCACTGGTCTCAGCGCTGGTCCGCGCTGGATCTCCTCCCAGGGTCCAAAATATTTTGAGATTAATCTCAAAACATTTTGAGATTCATCTTTAAAATAATTCTTCAGCCCGATTACCCCCCATTTGGGGTCCGCCCCCCCTTGCTGCAGCTTGTCCAGACCGTAGCTGACAGATACAACAACTGACAATCACATGTTTCACATCCTCGTGTTCGGACAACTCTCAGCTACAACATTATCCACTTCAATTTCAGTTCAACAGACCCAGGTTCAAACAACAAACCACAATCTGACAAATCGTCATAAAGCACATGTCGAATCAAATGTTTGCTTTGGCGTCACAAGCGCCCTCAAAACAATAAGTAGCCCTGCTGTCAGCACACCATTAGAAAGCCCTCCTTGAGCTGAACACAATGCTATAAGCCTGGTATCGCTACCTCTAAAACTCGCTGACCAAGCCGCAGACGAATGCCAGAAAACAAAGCAGTAAAACATCAGCGTTGAAGTAAAAGTCAACTTACTTTTGCTGTTTTTTCATCACAAGTCATTTCCATAGGAATAAAAGTCCGTTTTTTCTTGTATTCAACCTCATAGCGAGGCTTTCTAGCGATCTGGCAGATATCTGTTACTTCCACCTTCTGTAAGAGGCCCTTTGTGATAGGCTGCACCCGTGCGTCATGTCACGTACCTCTGTGTATCTCTTCCTGTGATTGGCCACAGGTGCTGTCCATCAATACGTTTTCAATGGTTTTTGATAGCCGAAGGTGTCTTCTTTCCAAAATGGTATGACATGCCCTGATTGGCCAAAGTACCGCGGAGGCGTGTACATGCGTATAGTTGGGGCAGAAGGAGGCTGTGCGCAAACCCTTTACGCACGGCAGTACTCGGAATTTTGACGAAAGTAAAAGATGGCAAAACAGCGTTATACACGCGAGGAGGTTGTAGAGCTTCTTGCTAGGGAACCGGGTGCCAAAGTTTATCTCGATGACTCTACAGACATGTTTTGTGCCATTTGGCACAATTTTGGCACAGTTGGATTCCGCCTGGACTTTTTTTCCAATTCCATGTACAACTCTGCAGTGGTTTGTTTATTTGGCACATTTTTTGCTGGACTGGTCCAAAATATCGGAAACTGTCAATTTTTGTTCTTATTTGCTACACCACAGACAGGGAAAAAGCTTTTTTGAGGGAAAATATGTGTTTTTTTTTTAGGCGGAAGTTAGAATTGTCTGTTTCAACCTCATTTTATTACTAACTAAGTACTAAGTTTTTATTTATATACCGCCTTTTTACTGCAGATCTGAGTCTCAAAGCGGTTTACAATTGTTAATTTTTGGGCATTTGTCTCTCACTCCACACAGAGATGGGAGCGGGGTCACCAGTACAGGAGGCACATGCCAGAACTATTGGACATATTTTTAGTGGTAGGGGAAACCGGAGTACCCGGAGGAAACCTACGCAGACACGGGGAGAACATGCAAACTCCACTCAGAAAGGCCCTGGTCCGACCGGGATTCGAACCCAGGACCTTCTTGCTGAGAGGCGAGAGTGCTATCCACTCAGCCACCGTGCCGCCGTTATTGTCAACCAATACAATTTATCATCTTTATTTCACTTCCACAGCAATCCCCAAGGTCCACCAGGTAATTTGGTACCAAGTTTGGCCACATATCTGGCTAAATACTATATGAAACCTTAGTAAATGTAGATTATAGCTTTTTCGGGAAAAAAAGGCCTCTGGGCTTAAGAGGTTAATATATTTTTAAATTAAGCTCATAACATTTTGAGATTAATCTTTAAAATAATACATAATATATTTTTAAATTAAGCTCATAACATTTTGAGATTAATCTCATCATATTCTTAGATTAATCTCACAATTTTGCTAGTTCGACTTTATTATCATAATATTTCGACTTTTAAGTCAACATTTTATAACTTTATTCTCAGTCTGGCAAAAGAAGAAAAAAGGGTGACTCTTTTGCTCCGTGTAACTCTTTGCTTTAGGCCTGTTGCCGTTTCCTCTGGCGTCTGCACACGGCCCTGCAGTCCCTTATATGGGCATTAGTGGGCGGTTACTTATGCTAAGTACCTATGCTAATGAAGCACCTGGCACGCACGCTGTACTTACGAGGAAATGGCATTCATCAATCTGAGAGAACAGCTGCGAACAATTCAGCGGCTTACGAGTGCGTTGATGAATCCCACGTAGGGACTTCTTAGAAATCTACTTAAGGACAACTTGAGAAGAAATTTGAGAAGTTTCTTACGAAGTTATTCGTGAATGAGGCCCATTGAATTTGGATCTATAGAAGCCTTCTGACGAAAGATATTCAAAACATATATCCAATTTGTTGCTTGAAATAGGGAAAATGTCTCTTCCCATCTTGTCTTTTTTATCAGTATATCTCAAAGAGAGAGGCAAAAGAAAAGTATCAGTAGTATTGGCCTCTGATGACTCCATGCAAAATCCATGCACGAAGAACAATCAAACTCCAAAGTCTGCCAACGTTTAAAAAGTCTACCAAAAAAGAAATGGCTTAATTGACCTCATGTCAAAATGGCCGAATTGAGAGGCCCAACTCCCCACAGTTGCCAGTCGCAAATAGAGTAGACATGCTTGAACCTAACATGCAGTTTTTGAGTAAAGTTGAAATGGGATGAAACAGGGTGAAACAGGGTCTAGTGTATCCATTGTTAGGTGTTGCCATATTTTGTCTTATGCCTTTTTGGGACATAAGGAAGAGTTGACAATGGTGCTACAGAACACCATAAAAATAACAGGCTTTGAGAAAAATGGTTTCTTCGTTCCACAGATGAAGCATTTGCAGCACAGGACTTCCACTGTCTCCTGTCTAGAGCCGGTCATTTGGCCAGAGCCACATTTCACACTCACCATTATCTGTGGCCACGAAGAGCGCCGTGTATTTGTTGTCATGGACATAATGAGACTCTCGGTCCAGTGAAGCTGTGGTGTTGACAATTCCTCTGACTGGGTTCACATTGAGCCAGCCTGCCGGGTCTCGCAAAACTGCATACCTGAAACAAAGTCAACAAGAGAACTATTTTAACAAGAGCAATGGAATATATATAAAAAAAATCACCCTGGAAACCACAGTTGTGTCTTCAATCCTCATGTATTTTATTTCTTATATTATAATATTTTTGTTGATATTTTATATTGTTGAAAGGACCATTTCTGTCACAATACTGTAAATAATAAACTTACTTTTGTACTGAAGCAACCAGAGTTACATTCCAATGTCACATTGTCCTTAGTCAGAAAATAGCAGTCTGAGAGGTGGCAGATGCTCAAGTGATAAGTCTCTATCTATAATTACGAGGCTATACATTTTATTGTGATAACTTTCATGGGGTTACAATAAACCCTGAGCCAGGCCTATTGGGCGCCAAATGGTTTCTGTCAATAAGCATTTTGAGTTTCAATCTTCCATCTGAATAAGTTGTCTTCTGAATAAAAGTTGTTTGACATATTGAATATTGACTTGTAGAGAAATGGCTTGGAGAACATAATGTTTTGTGTTTTGTAAAGCATTCTGCCTCACATCCATCTGAATAACTGCTCAACTTCTCTGAGGCCTATTATTTTAATGAGGATCTGTGAGGCAACGCATATGCAGTACAATGTGGTTCTATTTTCACCAGATCCATTCCCACTAAACTTCTTCCGGCAATGTATTTAAAATCAATACTTTCAAAACTTACTAAATCATTTATTTTGTGTCATATTATTTGTACCTGTCAAGAATGAGTTGCTAAGAGAATAACAGTGAGATGTGTGTTACTGTATATGCAATAGTTAAGGTTTACAGAAGTAAAACAGTATATGGCACTGGCACCTGAAAATGTAAGGTATCAGGATTCTTGTTTTATTCTATCCAAATTCAGTTTCATTCAATTCTCATTTACTTATAGAGCCCTTATATCTCACCAGTACAGTAGTTGTCTTGGAGGACTTTACAAAGTTGTCAATTCACCAACAACTAATACAAAAATCAAACAGTTCGAACACAGAAATGCAATAAAAACAAACCATAGAGCATATAGAAGCAGAATGACCAATGGCCATAAATGCTAATAAATGCCCAGAAATGTCCTTAAATGTTCCAAATCATCTCTGTCCTTACACCTTCTGGCATAAAAAAAAATAATTTCATTCATTCCTTCATTTTCTACCCCTTTATTAATCAATTTCTGGGTTGGGGGGTGGCAATAAGAACTGCCACCCAATACTCATAACAGATGGTGGGTCCACAGGAAAATGGCTGCTGCTTCGTCATCCAAAACACGGCCTTGGTGTTTCATCAGGGGCTTCGGGCAAAGTGGGGTTAGGTGTGTTGCCCAGGGACAAAACGACATCAGTCATCAGTGAGAGCCATTGGAGTAGGTGTTGTGGTGGGATTGAATCATGACCTTCAGGCCCAAAGACCAATACTCTCTCTACCAACTAAGCCACTGTTGTCCCCATCGGAAAATAAACACTAAAACTCCAATTGCCACAGATATTTTTTTTTCTTTCATTAATCCAAAGTACACTAATGTATTATATTATTCCTATTGCTGAGCTTTGTACCATGAGAGTACGGCATCATGGACAACCAACCTTGTAAGGGTAGAGTACGAGGACGTTGTATAGTTTGAGTAGTTTGTTCTCCTGGGTGTTTTATATGAGCAGCAGAAGGGTGAGCATATTTCTGTATTTGAAAATGGGCACTGGGCCTGTACGTGTTTCTATATGCAGACATTGACAGTTAAGCAGCCTGTGTTTTTGGAGACTTTACGATAATTTGGATAACATCTGTGGACAAGCTCAGCAATTTTATGAAGGACAAACAGAACAGATGCACACACACACATTTAAAAAAAACTGCTCTGTATTGCTTTTTTCACCGTACAAAATAGAGATAATACACACAATGTTGTTGAGTTGTTTAATTCAGCTATATATACTGTATAAAGCTCTTGAACTAGAGTCAGAGGAATTGGCCTCAGCAGTTCACACCTTTCTCTCCTCTTTCGCTCTCTCCAACAACATCCCTCTTATCACTTCTTTTTGCACAGACTGTAAGCAACATGTTTGACTGTAATAAAGAACCCAGTGCTCCAAGGTTAACAGCACTGTTAATAATGAGACATTTATCAGCCCACGTGCCCTCAGTCAAATGCATAGAGACAGGGGAGCATCACATGATCTATGGACATGGCCTCCACTGACACACAGCCAGCTCATGTGAACCTCCATTCTTCTGGCTCGGCTCATGTTCGTGGTCTTTGTTCAACACTGTGTCATGCTGTGGAAGACTTTGCAAGGACACAATATACATGCAATTGGCAAAGAAAACACCTTTAAAGGTTCTACCTGTTAAGGTGAAGATAGACCAAAAACAAAAAAGATGATAATAATCCTAATTAAGCAACAGTTTTGTATTTTGCGCTTTTTTGGACACTCAAAGATGCTTCACATGCAATTATTCATTTCATTCACTTATTTGTATATAGTGTATATATTGTGTGTGATCCCTGTGTGCTCTTACTACTGTCCTATATGTGCGATGCAACATCGAAATTTCCCCACTGTGGGACGAAAAAAGGAATTCTTATCTTATCTTATTTAATCTATACATTGTGGTAACAAACTACTACTGCGGCCACAGCTGCCCTGGGGCACATTGACAGAAGTCAGTATCTGCCATCGTCCCCGACCACCACCTACTATTCACACACACACCAGACTCATTATCGGCAATGTGGGTGAAGTGTCTTGCCCAAGGACACTACAAAAGTTTGGCACTGTACAGCCGCAGCTGCCCTACAAAGGCACCTGCTATTCAAAAGGGTCTCCCATCACAGTACAAACCAAGTCCTGCCCTGCTTAGCTTCAGACGTCTGACAGTATCTAGCTTTCAGATGCAGGTAGTGTCATGCATTGCTCAACTTTGAAATCATCTTAACCACAGTGTGGCAATCTTAACCATAGCTTAACTTTCGATACCGTGAGCCGGTTTTCTTTCATTTAATTTTAGTCGATTATTGTAATCTTATGTCTCCTATACAGTTTCAGGGATCCACCGTGTCTGTTTTACATACTGTTTATATAAAGATTTGGGTTTAAAATGATACAAGGGAAGACTTTACCACTGTGGGTAAAGCAGTGAAAATATTGAAAAACTTAACTGAAACCATTTTACTTTATTTTGTGGAGGACAATATTTGATTTGAAATAGAGTGGTGAAAGTATATTCCATAAACACGGGGAGGGTTAGGGAAAAGGGGGTAAAGGTGAGTTCTTAAAACTCTCCAGTTGGATAAACAGAATTACAGATCTTTTTCACTTCTGCTTTGCTTTGAGTTCTATCATGCACCAGTCGTTGGCCCATTTCTTTTGTTAAACTATATATTTAATCTTGAAGTGTAGATTTAAATGTATTTCCACTATAAAATGCCATTCCACCTTTAGTCTGTCAGGTAACAACAAAGTCAGTCACGGCCAATGTTCCAGCTCTCTGTACTTACACAGGGACAGTCCATTAGAGACTTTGAAAGGGCAAATTAGACAGACGTTAAAAAGCCATTTGGAATATTCATATCTGGCGATACAAGTTATCTCTGAAAGCAGACAAAGTCAAAACAAATCAGTCAACAAATGGAACAGCATTGAGCGAGCCACCACCACACTCATTAGGATGGAAATGTTCAGAGTTTCGAACACACGGTCAAACTACAAAAACTATAGTAAATGTTACCGTTTCAAATGAAAGAGGATTTTTGTTTAGAATAGTTGTAATGAATGACCAGAGTGAGGGCGATGGTCAGAACCAGTGCATGTTATAGTCCAAGAATTCCATTCAGCTGACCCCATTCACACTTTTGGCTGAAAATAGTATTCATAGTATTTTGGTCACTCATTAGAAATACATCGGGACGAGCACAGGTACATATAGACACAGAGACACATGAAACACATTAGGGCGGGGCAGACACTCAACAGATAAACAGCCCAGGAAGTCAAACTGGAAAAGAAGTCACAAAATCCACACCAATAGGTTGTTTCTGTAAAATATGCTAACATATTGTAATGCTATGTTAGGGTCGTCCTCTTGAATGAATGGTAGAACTGACACATTCGATAACTATTGTGTTCTGACCGTATAAACATATCGTTATTGGCTACCAAATGGATTGTAAATAAAGATAAAATATAAACAATTAAAAAAAAATTAAATCAGTCTTTTATAAATGATTTCATGTCTCGATTGTCTACCACTGTGTTTATTCACATAATAACCAATAAAACAAAATGTGGAAACGCCCACATACTGTCGACACGTCTTGTGAATGTGCAGAGACGGACCAGGTCTCTGATTGTTACGTTTGCTCTCAATTGATTTAAAGCAACACTTTGGGATTGACCTGGATCTGGGATGAAAGGGATTCCGCCCACTTGTAATCCGTTGCTATCAGGATCCAAAAAGCGGGTATGTTTGTGTTTATCCCAGAGCTTGTGTGTCGGAGGCAGGTGTGGGTGGGATGCAGCAAGTACCAGACGATCTGCAACAAGAGCTAATTTTCAAGGAGAATAAAAGCTCAGCAGGCAGAGGCTCAAAGGGAAACTCTCTGGTTAAATGTAGTGGTGCCCTTGTTTGTTTGCAATCACCTCGTTAAATAGTGCTGATAATACTGTTTGGTACAAACACTTCTGTGAATGTTTAAAATATAAAACGGCTCTCAAGTGGACTGGTGATTTAAGAATATTGATGAAAAAAACAGGGTTTGATGGAATCTTACTGCTTCATGCTAATGTAGAAAAAAACCGCTGCAAGTGCAAAAATCTTTATTCTTTTGTTAATAGAAAACAGTGGATAACACGGAACTTATGCAATTTAACAGCATTTTTTAAATAACTCTGAACTTGAATCTCTGCCTAAATATGACTTATTATTAGGAATATCTATTTTCAAATTAGAATTTCAATCACACTGTAGGGCGTCAACCCAGTCAAATTATTATTTGTTGTGTGTATCTTATGGAATGTTTTGAGATCTTGAAAAGTCGCATGATTTAGCCTGATTCTTTGAGTTCAGTTTGCATTATTAGTACTGGATGTTTCTGGTATTATGGAATGGGAGTGTTATTACTCCTAGTTTAGCCGCTGTGGACGAGTAGTAGAAGTTAGCCGCAGAATGCACTCTTTCAAATGAATGGGGCTCGTGCCGGCTAACGCATGTGCAATTTAGTTTTTTCACATTTTCCTGCCCTGCTGCCATTTTGAAAAAGCAAGCACCCATGAAAGGCAAAAGTGGTGGCACATTAGATAGGCATGACTACTTTCATTAATATTAACAGTCTATGGTGGTTATAACATATTTTCTGAAAAGCAAGAACGTTTCAAAGTGCACTCAGCCTATTTTGTTTCAATAACTTGACCTGCAAATCATCTTGGAATTCTGCATATCGTTCCCAAAGTCAACCTGGTTTAACGGCCCCAAACTCCACATGGAAACTCTTAATGCACATTTCCACTTCACCCATCTCTGCCTAAAAGCCGCTGCTCTTTTCTGCCGCATCAGGCTTTTCTGCTACTTTCCAGGGGTGTGATAGATATTCCCACCCTCACCTCCCACTCCCAAAATGCATCATTAAGTTTCACGGAGAAGCAATGTGGGCTGACTGACTGGTGAGGTCAGCCATGTGCACTGGCTTTATCATTACTAAGAGTTCATTTAGAGTCGGGCTGTATGGGGGCTGTTTAACCCGAGAGGCTCTGGGGAACTGTGGCAGCTAACAAGGCTTAAACTTGCCAAATACACTAAATGCATAAATGCAAATGTTCTACACACTACCTACAGTATTATATTTTGCAATTGTGACACTGTTGAATGGGTTATTATACTTTAAAAAAACATGTTTTTCAAAAAATGTCAAATTGTATTGCAGGTACACCATATGTGTTGTATGTATTCAAAGCAAGCCACGTTGTGTTGTACTTTGAGGGCTCCCATAATTTTAAAACTGCTCCCGTTCACCATCAGTATTCCTCATAACACCCCCTCCTTTCGGCTTGTATACCCAAATTACACGTCAGACGCATGCATGATACATAATTTTAATATAATTCCTTTAAGGAGTGGCATCAAAATTCCACAGCGACTAAACTAGAGTGGTACAAAAAAAACACTCCCCTCAGCATTGACACACATCTGGAACGTAGCTTTGGGCCAAGAGCCAACTTTTGGACCATCGTGTAATCCCGTTGTTGAGGAAAAAAGATACGTACATTAGCATTGAATAATTCTGAATCCGGGTCCAATCCCATTGGCCCGGGGTAGTATTTCAAAGAGGTCAGCCCTCGTCATTTTGGACATTTTTGAGCCGGGACCCGCCCCCACTGGTGTTGCCTCCTTACGCACAGTTTCTTTAAAAAAAATCATGGGTAAAAACATCATGTCTCAGCCCTTGTTGTCGTAAGCTGTTTAGATCTATCAATCACTTTGCCATACGTCATCTGAGCAAGATAAGATGTGTGCAACCGTCAACGTTGCTGCCACTATACCAGCTATGAAACCAGAGGCTTGTTTATAAACGCGGCTTTTAAAAAAACAAAAAAAACTGCTGCACAGATTGCCTCAAGCAAGGTCTCATTGTTTGGCTAAGAAGAAGAGGAACGCGAGCATTGGATTTGTTTAGGGCCAAATCCATCGTAGTGGAAAGAAGTAACCCTAACCCTAACCCTAACCCTTTTTTTTGTTTTGTTAAAGAAACAAAACATTCCTGGATTATTTCTCCATACTGAACTTTATCTTGGAAATCACAAGTGGATACTGCTCTTCCATGGACATTTACAGAATTAATGAGTCACAGCGAGCATGGATTACTTCAATGTTACAAACACAGCACAAGACCAAATGTAAGTTTGCAAGTTAGCAGCATGTTGCTATGGTTACTAGGGTTTGCCCTTCTCTACTTCTCTCCTCTGTTTCAAAATTAAAAGTTGACTTAATTAAACTAAAAACTTAGAAATTAACTGCATAAAGAAACAGAAAAAGTCAAAAGGTTTTAAAGATAAAAAATGGACATGAGCTGAATAATTACATGTCAAGCTCGAGTCCTGACTAGAACCAGGAAGTACGACCACATTAGTCCAGTCCTCAGGTCTCTGCACTGGCATCCTGTGGCTCAGTGAATAGACTTTAAAACAGCTCTGCTTGTGTACAAGTCTCTCCATGGCCTCGCACCAAAATATATTAGTGACATGTTATGGCGCTTTTCCACAGCACCGGCACTACACCACTCTACACGACACGGCGCGTTACTTTTGCATTTCCACTAGCGTTGAAGCTAGGTATTGTGTTCTATTTTCGGACCGCCTCTGGAGCGGTTCCAAAAAGCTACACGCTCGTGACGTAAGCGGACTGCCTACGCTATTGGCCAACGGCTCTCTCACACTATTGGCCAACGACTGTCGTCACTGGTAGCGTCATAAGTGCGACGTCTGACCGTATTGAGAGACAAGATTCAACCCCGCCATTTTTAAAACTGCCCTGTGAGCATACGCACTGCACTCGAGAAATGGAATCCAGCAAGCCGCAAAAGTCCACACCGTGGTCTGTTGATGAGGTCCAAACATTTCTGTCTTTACTGGCCGAAGACAGAATACAGAAGGAGCTCGATGGCAGTACGCGAAATGAGAAGGTCTATAAAGAGATCGCCCAGCTCTTGCTAACACACGGTTACCACCGTACGCATCAACAGTGCAGGGACAAGATTAAGAAGATGAAGTGCGATTACCGGGCCATAAAGGACCACAACGGCCGAAGTGGGGTCAATCGGAAGACCTGGAGGTGGTATGCCGAGATGGATGCCATTTATGGCCACAGGCCTGCAAACAATGGACGGGAGTGTGCTCTGGACTCTTCTTCCACGTCGAGAATGGGCGATAATGGTAAGTGCTTTGTAACTTTTATCTGTAGTTATTGTGAAAATGCATTATCACGTAACCTGTGGCTCAATGCCCACTGGAATGTATTTATTCATGTAAACGTTTGATTGTTGTCTGCTGTACAAAGTGAGCTAGCTACTTTAAGCTATCGATAGCAAGCTGCTAACACGTGCTACATCTTGCCATTTCACGTGTTGCCATTCAGTTTTGTGCTTTTACTTAAGTCGTTGTGTGTGTTTGTCTTATTATAGAATCCCTTGTCGCAAGTGAAGCGTCGAACGACCCCCCAAGGTCCCCGTCTCCAATCCCTCCAGAACCAGCTGCTGCTTCGACGCCTGATGCGTTCCCTTCGATAGCGAGCGACACGTCTAGCAGCGCACAGCGTGTGGTCACGGGTAAGGCAAACATAATACATGATCGATAGATATTTTATTCATCACCCTGGGAGAAATTCATGTCCTATAGCAGCAAAAAAAAAATAATACAACTACATTGATACTGTGCCGCAACAGTGCAGCTCTATACCGACACCTGGTGGATCTCAGAAGTAATTGCATTCAACTCGGTGAAGTATGTCCAATTAATGCATAGTTTGGACACTATCACCCTAGCTTTAGAGAATGTCAATAAAAAAGGAATCGGACCACCTGTCAGTGATCTTTTTCCAAATAAAAAATCTAATTTGTGATACAATACCACTTCACTTTGGTGTGAAAAAGAAATGCAGCGAAATGTAAGTTTAGCTGCACTGACTGCATCCATCTGCAGGGGTGGCAGTCAGAGATGCCACCCAGTCTCAGAGCACCAGCCTGCCTTTTCTCTCTTCTCTCCACTGATGCCCAACACAATACTGCCCTCTACAGGTGACAATTGCTCATTACACATAAATTGCCGTTTTGAGTGTGAAAAAATGTCCGAGGTGGGATTTGAACCCAAGTATCTGGATTGGCAGTCCAACGACACAACCACTGGACTATCTCAATGACAGTGAAATGATACATTCTAGTATTTATCTCAGACTCTCTGTACACGGCCTTGTCATCTTGAATATCCGCGAAAAAAGAATGAATACCAAATTGTAAACAACTTACAGCGTTGAAACGTACCCGTTCTGACGTCACCAAGGGCTGTGAAGTTTTTTCGTTTCTAAGGGCGTTGCTATGGGGTTATTTCGATTTGGGGGGATCAGACAAAAAAAACAACAACTGATTTTGAAACCTTTAGTAGTTCTCTTCTAATATAAAATGGTATTAAAACTGTATTTCTAAATAAATCAAACCCGTCATAAGGTCTTTAATCTGGGTGTATTTAAGTCATGCTCATGCTTTGTCCTAAAATGCCTAAACATTGACCATTAAATATTGTTTATTGACAAAGCGTGATACATGACATACAAACATTACCCGATTTGCAATTAAGTCAAATGATCCCACACGTAACACTTTAAGTGGAGGTTTTTCCTCTTTGAAAGGGTAGTTGTTGCAAAATCTCGGGTAGTGTGATATATACTGGTCTGAAACGTAATAATCTTTTTGCCTACATAAAAATATGTCTCCAGAAATGTCACTGCTTTGGATAATTACCAACTGTTAATACTTTTTTTATTGTTGTACAGGGAAGAGAAAAAGGGCGCTCTTCCAGACGGAGACTGTAGAAATGATGAGGCAGATCCAAGCTGAAGATGTGGTGCAGCAGGAGCTGAACCGGACACAGCAACTCCAGCTCGTCAGAGAGTCGCAAGAGTTGGAAGCGACATTGAGGAGGGAGGAAAATGCACAGGCGGCTGCATTTAACCAATCATTTCTTGGTCTCCTGGGCCAGCTGGTGGAAGCCATGAGTGGCCGCCGAAACTGACACTTCACCAAGACACTCTTCACCAAGACACTTTGTAAATAATTTTATTGGTGCACTTTAAAATTTTGTTTTTTTTAAATAAATGTGTGATTTTTTCCAAGCCAGGTTTCATTTCTCGGTACACATGAGTTAACATGCAAACCAAAGGTTTCACATTATTTGTTGTCAGTAAATCCTTAATTGTGGTAAATTTAGGAATAGAAGGTTTATTTATTTAAGTGAGGAGCCTACAGGGAACAATACAGACTACTGATAATGTACAGTGTTGGTTACAATACAATAAGCTAGGAAAGTGGGTAAGAAAGGCACGATAAAGAGTTTGTGTGTGCACGTGCGAGTGGCTGATCCAAATCTGAAAGGGAATAAAGGTATTTGTAATGGTGGGAATGGTTAATGGGTGTATGATTGAAAATGTATGAATTAATATTTCATTAATATGCAATATTGGCTCTCTGCATATACATGAACACATACATGCATATCCCACCAAAAGGTTACAATGACAAAACAAGTAACAGCACAAAAAATGAATCCATTATGACTGTCAATACTTGCACTACATTGTGTCCTGTTCTAGTGGTGCGTTGGACCTCTCCACTTGCCCTCTTGAGTTTCTCATTATTGCTATTAACATCCATATCTATATTAATGTTATCAGCACTATTTTTGTGCAATGCGAGCAAGTGCTGAAACCCATTTTTAAAAGTTAGCGGTCTCTGTAGTGGTATCTATGGAGGACTTTGAGTTGTATGTTTGAGTTTTTGGCCATAAAGTAAATGTTGCGGATTTGGGTCCAGAAATTGGCATCTGGAGAAAATGCAAAGTCTTGACATCGTGTTGGGTAGTGTCAATTCCTGTAAGTCATTTGCATAATTGAGTTTGTTTTTGGGAGTGAACTTTAGAAGCTCTGCGTTTAAATGGGCCCAGGTTGTGGGCTGTTTGGATATTGATTTGAATAACTGTTTGGATATTGATTTTATTTAGGATTATTGCTCTTCATTGTGAGTATTCCAGGAAGCATCTGCAGCAGATGGCATATTCCTGCGACTGTTCTTTGAGTGGTGACTGTAATGTGACCTATATGAGTAATACCTGTACTTTCCCAGGAGTGAAATATGAATAGAAGGCATTTTTGCTGAATACAAAAAGGTTTATTTGTTGTTCCAAAACAGGCTAAATGTTCAGACATTGGACAGAAAGTGACGCATCAGACCCTCCCTAACATCACTGCCCCCCTCATCTGCACCCTGTGCCACTGCTACCACAGGCTGAACTGTTGCTACAGGTGTGTCCCATTCTGTCACGTAGGTCTCTCCATGGTTTTCGCACAGATTGTGCAGAGCACAACAAGCCAGCACCATAGACTTTACCAGTTCAGTGTCAGAGTCATTCCTTTTCAGAAGACAGCGCCATCTTCCTTTAAGCCTGCCGAAAGCATTTTCAACAACCACCCGCCCTCTGCTGAATTTTCTGTTGAATAGTTGCTGTTCGTCTGTCAGTCGTCCGGTGTCCTGAAAAGGTTTTAGGAGCCAGTTCCGCAGGGGGTAAGCGGAGTCCCCTAGGAGGTAATAGCCAGCAGTCACCCCACCAATTTCTCTTGTGTGAGCTGGGAAGAGGCTTCCCCGGCAGGCTAACTCCCACAAGTTAGAGAGTCTCAAGACCCTGGCATCATGCAAGCTCCCAGGCAATCCGGCAAACACGTTCCAAAACAACCCCTTTCCATCAACCACACCTTGGAGAATAATGGAATGCCACCCTTTGCGGTTGAAATAGTCACAATGACATTCCTGTGGAGCCATGATAGGGATGTGGGATCCATCAATGGCACCAACACAGTGTGGGACCCCCCATCTGTTCTCGTTGTAGGCAGCAATCTCCCTGAATTTCTCCCCAGTAGGACAACGGATCTGCGCTGGGACCAACACCGCATTTGCTGCAGCACAAAAGTCTTGCACACAGCGGCACACCGTTGTTATACTGACTCCAAAAAGGTGACCAATGCTTCGGTACTCAGAGCCAGTAGCAAGTTTCCAGAGTGCGATAGCCACTCTCTTCTTTAGGGGCACACATACCCGGTAAGTAGTGTCTTGTCGCTCCATAATCAAGCGCAGCTTTGTGCAGAGGTAATCAAACGTTTCTTTGGACATGCGGAAATTCTGCACCCACTGCGTGTTGTTGAAGCTTGGGACTACAATATCCCACCACTCGGAGGCTCGGTTTAAGGCCCACACCGATGGCTTGCGGCGGCGACGCAACCCGAGAAGCATCTGAAACACACACATACAGCATACACATTTTAATGATTTACAGAGACAGCCAGCAGCCATTTTGTTCAGGACGGCTGCTACAAAGCTAGCGATAGCAATATTAGCTTACCCACAAACGCCGTCTTTTTTCAGCTCGTTGTCTCCTGTCCTCAACTGCAAACTCCTGCAAGGTTTTCAATAACTTCGTCATTCTTTGGTGTCTCGCCGCCTGGATTCTTCTCAGGCTTTTCAGTCTATTTGTGACTAGTAGCCACAGAGAGAGCAGCAACACCACGATCGTGTCGGAGTCCTCCATTGTTTGAGGATGTAATGTTTTTCCTGGTTTCATGCTCGTGAGTCGCGCGGAAATGGCGTAACGGTAGCGGAAATGACGTAACGGTAGCGGTGGTATGAAAAGCCCACCCACTTGAAGATGTCCGATGGAGATATGTGGAAAAGCACGCGTACTCGACCGGGTCGTGACGTGTCGTGTAGAGTGGTGTAGTGCTGGTGCTGTGGAAAAGCGCCATTAGTCCCATATGAACCAGCCCGGACTCTGAGGAGCACAGGGACTGGACTCCTGTTAGTGCCCAGAGTCAGAACTAAACATGGGGAGGCTGCTTTTCAGATTCATGCTGCTAAAATCTGGAACAGTCTTCCTGAAGATGTGAGACAGGCCTCCTCTCTGACAATGTTTAAAACCAGGTTAAAGACGGTTCTGTTTAGCTGTGCATACAACTGAGGGATTTTATATTTTTATCTTTTTTTAAATTTTGTTTTAATGTACTGTGATTATTTATGATTTTAATGCTTTCTTGTTTTGTTCAGCACTTTGAGTTGCCTTGTGTATGAATTGTGCTATACAAATAAACTTGCCTTGCCTTGCCTTGCCTATCCTTGCCTTGCCAAATTGAATGCTCTGGGTCTGAGTGTTAAACCTTTATTGCCTGGCACACTTTGCGGGACTTTGGAAGTGCTTAAAACCAATGAGCGATGGCCTCAGACCACTGCAAGTCGGAGTGCAAGTGCAGGTCTCCGGAACGTTTCCCCATAGAGTCTATTTTTGCCAAACTCTGCAGCAGTCTCCTGGTGATTAAACAGCTGTTCTCCTCCTGAACCCTGCTAAACCCTGTGAAACCACATCACGCCGTCTGACGTAATTGACAATATCTGCAAATGCTAATTTTTATTGCTTTGAAAGTTATTATAAGAAGACAAAAGTGTATTTGCTTCTTTCTAATTTCCTCAAAATAAAATAACCTTCAAACCCATGTATTGTTTTTGTTGTACAGCACTCCTATTTGCAAACTTTGGGTAATTATTGAAAATCAATGAATAATAAATAAGATAATAAAACTAATCTAGCTGCACCATTATTTCAACACAGAAACAGCCCACATATAGCAATTTAATGGAGCAAGTATAGTACTGAAATACGTTCTTTTGGTTTCTTGCTTTTAATTTCATCCTTACTGTATAAACTAACAGGCTGCTATAGATCGGTGTAGTTTTGTTTTACAGAACTCTACAAGCCACCATAAAGTGTAAATTTATTTAGTGTAATAAATGCAATTTGTATGATAGAAAGGATGGTTTATGAATTATAACTGGTCCATATACCCACGTCCCACGCACACAGAATACACATGCATCTTTAACCAGGGAGCAGCAGTGCTTCTGTTTGTGAGAGCAGTGACTATAGCTAACAGTAGATAATGAATAGAGGAGGTGGAAGTGTCTTGACTGATTAAAATGCCCCGCAGTGTGAAGCAACCTCCTGATGCATAATAAAGCAAAGATCAGAGTCAGAGCAGGCAGGTGCAACATGGGCATCTCAGCTGAATTTACAAGCCTTAAAAGCATAATTATTTGAAACCAGGGAAGGCCAAGGGTAATGCATCCAATTAAAATAACTGTTTAAAGACTGAGCAGAAAAGGTCACATGTGCCTCTGGACTGATGGAAGAATTTGCATCTTCACTTTTTTCTGAAATTTGGCTTTACAGACTCGGTTTGATATGTTGGCACCAATGCAGTCACATTCAGCCCTGAGGCAGAGCGGTGGTCGTGCATTTTACAGATAATTTTACTCAATGCTACCAAATACCAGATTGAAATTGGCAGATTCAGCCACAACCTTTGCCTGTAGAGTATTAAAACAAGCAATGTCCACCTGCTCATGAGGTGATAACATTAGAATATAATTTCCCTGTGTTCAAAACTGAATCCCTTTCACTGGGTTCAGTGTGGATTTAGCATGCTATCCCCACGTCTGCCAGGATTTCCACTCCCACTACAGTTTAACGTTTAAAGTTCTCGTTATTGTCCCACAAAGGGAAATCGTTTTTTTTCAGCAACCACTAATTGAAAAAGAAACACACCAAACACAAATTACCAATAACACATTGAAGATAGTAAAAACAAGAGGGGGGGGTGTCACAAAACTAGTTTAAGCCCAGTGCTAATATGCTGTGAAGTACACAAGTTTGTGTAAAGCGCTAAGTGCTGTTAAAGTGCTTCACAGCTGTTGGGATAGATGTAGTTCCAATCCTTTTTGTACAACACTGAAACATGTACAATTCTGGAG